CATTGCTCTTGAACTGAATTTTATGTTTAGAGTTCGAAGAACATGATATTTAATAAATAAAGGTAACACACAAAATGTAAAAAAACGCCGGTTTGGATGTAATTTAAACATCTGAATCATTTCAGATCTTTTTTTTTTTTTTTTTTTTTAAACGATTTAAAAGTGATACTTAAAAAGAATTTTTGCGATATGAATATGATTTTGATTATGAAATAGGTGCTATTTAAGATGTTCAAATTGATAAAACAATAAAAAAAAGTTGCAGGTATTCAGAATGTATTAAAAGCATTTAAACGTTATCCGATTAGTAATAAAGTATTGCAAAATTGTGGGGGAAGGAGAGCAAAAGTTATCATCATTGATTTTAAATCACCGTAGATTATTATGAAGACAATGAAGGATTTTTTTAAAAATAAAAAATAACCGGTAAAGTCAAGTTATTGATCTAAATATCGATAATATATGCAAAGAAAATGTTGTGAAAATTGTTGAGATATTATTGGCAAAATAAAAGCTTGTTGAGTTAATTATCGAATGGTTTAAAAGCCGAGAAGATTCGAGGCCGTTAACCACTTGAGAAATACTGAGTTTTTTTTATTTAAAAATATAGAAAACGTTATTAGCGAAATAAATTAACAACTGTTTATTAAAATTCAAAATGAGTGAACAAGTGAAGCAATATATGCTTCTTAATTTTTTTTTTTTTTTTTTTTTTTTAATTCTACGAAAAAAACTAGACCATGTCTGTCAAAGAAAGAATTCGTATATACTTTCGATAGCTTCAGAACAAAAGCTGATTAAATATAATTAAACTGTAAGTAAATTTATTTAGTAATATATTTTTCGCATTAAATATATTTGTAGAATTGGTAGATGCAATATTTTCATTCCTTACACTCAATAACATGAAAAAATCGTTTTGCCGCGTTATACAGTTTTGTCACATAATTCATTGCTTAAATTTAGAACGTGCTGTCGGACGTTTGCTTTTGTATATTTGCTTTTTTTATTCATATTGTAATAAATTTTGATTTAGTTCCGAATTTAATATTAACATAATTTTAACCTAACCATGTTCGCATAAATTAGATTACTCCAATTTCACTGAGCATTTCAATGTCAACCAGTTTACCTTTCGTAGTTATTTGTTTTTAGCTTTTAACAATGGAACTGTTTTATTGATTTTATGCGTTTAAACTCCTTTTCTTTTGAAATTTTAAAACGTAACTACATAATAACAAAAATAATGTGTTCTGATTCTCTGCATTTTAGATAAGAAAGCCCTCAAGCCTTGAACATAGCTTATCTCAATACACGTTTTTACAGAAGTCTTTTTCACCCATAAACAATCGCCACATCATATTTCAATCGTTGTGGAAGAGTAAATTTTTTCCCCCGTCATTAGAGGTAGATGCGTTGTTTCGATGTGCAAGGAGCGGGAAGGAAGAAAGAAAGAAAGAATTTTCAGTGAAAAGTTTTAAAATAGAACGCTGACGTAAAACATACACATCCCAGGGGTTTGGGGGCATTAATACGAGAAAAGTTCCGGCTCAGTTGAGAATGTTTAGATCGATAGCTTTCTCTAAGTACCACACACGCATTTCTTGTGATGCGCAAAACTATAAATTTTTTAAAAGCGAAAAATTTCCCGCCGCTTCTGATGCAGTTTTAATTCATTGAGATTTTAAATGTCAGATATAGCAAAAATATCAGCTATATAGTAAACATTTGCTACTTCCTTAGTAGTAAAATCAGATTTCTAACAAAATATCTCGTCACTTATATAGCTTCTAGACCCATGGTTCGAGTTTACAAACTAAATCAAATAAGGTAGGCTTTCGGACTACAAAAATGTTAGTGTTAGTTATTTGATTGCAAAGTTTAATTAGTTACTTGACAAAAGTTAGTTTAATAAAAACATATAAAATTTGGTACTTGGATTATTAGGTGATATCCATGTAGACACCTCCAGCGATCTGTTAGCGTCTTTTAGAGATGAAATAAATTTTGGACATTAGCAAATTGATGAAATAGAATTTTTAGTTTCGGTGGATATTATTTGCCAGTCGCATTTAAAATAGCGTCAGATTGTTATTCTACGTCTCTCTCTCCGTTATCAGCTGTACTAAATAAGAACTCAAGTGACTTCTTCGGAGATATTTCCCAGTTCTTTTAATTCATTGCCAGTTGTTGACACTACATTACCATCGTATATCTTTTCATGTTCAGATTCATTGCGTGAGAATTAGAACACTGGCGACTTTGTGGTGAAATAGCTTGGCTGGAAATAATGGATTGCTCTTGCTCAGTTTCTTCACTGATCTGTTAAATGGAGTAAAAATTAACATGAGATGAACAAAAATTATTCCAAGAAGTTTCTGCGGGGAAGGGGTCTCTAATTCGCTTGCTCTAATTCTCTGAAGTTAATTTTCAAATAAGAAAATTGCATCTATCTAGAACTGTATATGCAGTTTTCGGAAACTCGTCGGTCTCAGAATCAGAGCGGTATTTTTGATGATTTATCGATCGTGTTCAAATGAAAAATTTGGGTACGTTATGTATACAAATTTTTAATTTTATTACGGGGACGAATAAAGGAGGAGTTGGCCAGCATGAAAATCATTTAGCTGAATGAGCGGGAAATCGAAATCATTGTCATCTGATCAAAATTACTGGAAATATAATTAATTCGAAATATTCCGTGAGAAGTTGATGACGATATGCAAATTACTCTAATTATAAATGTACTCTGTATAATTTCGAAAACAAGTTTTGAATGCTGTTTATGAGAGATGCCTTTTATGTCAAAGGGACGCGAAAATAAAGTAGAGTCATGGGTTACAAAATTCCATTTACAGAAATAAGTTTGGTAATTTTTACCTAATGGAATTTAGTTTTTATACGATAGGTGAAATGGAAGTTTTCGCAGTTTTTTACTTCTTTTATACAACGGATGAAATATATTTAAGCTTGTAAGTTTTGACAGGTTATGTGTATATTATTTAGGGCCGTGTTTGCAGTTTCGGAAACTAGAATGTGTTTAAAAGGTGTTGATCCCGTCAATAGCTCAGTAAAACTCATAATTAAATAACTAGCTTAATTACTCAAAAATGAGTTAGTTCACATCTCTCGGCGGCGTCTCAGAACACACTCAAACTCAATACAAGTGGCCGCAAGGTGGCGCTGTAAACAAACATCAGCGTCATCGTTTTAGAACACAAATATTACATATTTTCACAGATGTTGCCTCTGGCGTCTATATCCAGCCCGGCCTTGAATGTTACATTCAACAATAAATTTTAGAACACAAGTTATAAAATACAAACATAACACTCCAAGATAATAATGATTATACAATTATACAAATTCAAACTTGATAATTAACTATAAATAAAAATTTAAGTAACTGAAACTATTTCATTAACAAAAGGCAAAGGTCTAATTTTTGTCATTGGCCTTTTATAGGTTCCATTTTTATCTTTAAGTGTCATAACTCAAATAATATTATCTTGATCTGGATGGGCTTTAATAATTCGTGCTAAATGCCACTTTAAAGGAGAGTAATTATCCGAATCTTTTAGTAAAACTAAATCTCCTTACTTCATTTCTGCTTTTCCTTTATACCATTTAAGTCTTTTTAAAAGTTTGTTTAAATATTCAGACGACCATTTAAGTCTTTTTAAAAGTTTGTTTAAATATTCAGACGACCATTTTTCCAAAAATTTTGATTTAATTTCTGAACCATTTGCCATATAGTTATCCGATTTATAGGAATCTCTGTAAAAATTAGGTTCAGGCAATGCAACTAAATATGAGTCAATAAGAAAGTGCGCAGGTGTCAATGCCTCTACATAATTTGGATCATTTGATATGGGACAAAGAGGGCGAGAATTAAGTACAGATTCAATTTGAACAATTATAGTAAAAAAATCTTCTTAAGTTAGAATTGTTTTTCCCACCACACGTTTCAAGTGATATTTAAGGGATTTCACACTAGCTTCCCATAAACCTCCAAAGTGAGGAGTAGAGGGAGGGTTAAAATGCCAATTTATGCCTTCAGTAGCCAAATAACCTTTGATTTCTTCCTCACTTTTATCCTTAAATAAAGATTTTAGTTTCGCTCTTAATTCTCTATGAGCACCCACAAAATTTCTGCCATTATCGCTGAAAATATCTGAGGGTTTACCTCGCCTGGCAATAAAGCATTTAAATGCTGCTATAAATGCTGCATTTGTTAAATCATTTACAATTTCAAAATGCAAGGCTTTCGTAGTGAAACATACAAAAATATATATACAAATACTTTTCTTACCTGTTTAATTCTACATACTTACAAATATTTTTACCACAAATGGACCGCAGAAATCGAGTCCTGTTCTAGCAAAAACTCTTGATATGGTCACTCTCGCAGCTGGTAAATCAGCCATCTGTTGTTGCGCTGACCTAGAATTTACCTTTTTACAAATCATACAATTAAATATAATTTTTGTAATTACATTTCTTGCAGAAACAATCCAAAATTTACTCCTTATAAGTGATAGTGTTGTTTCAGCACCTGCATGAAAAAAAAAGAACATGAAAATGATTAATCACAATTAAAGTAAAGTTATGTTTAGTTGGCAAAATCATAGGATGTTTTCTCATTTGACTTAAGTCACTGGTTTTCAGTCTGCCACCCACTCTGAGTACTCCATCATCTAAAAGTGGACACAAATTCAATAGTATACTACTATTACGAATAGAAGCACCCTTTTCTAAGCACTGGATTTCTGTCACAAATGAAGTCCCTTGAATGTTTTTCACAATACACAATACGCACTAGAAAGTTCACTGGTTGTCAACGTTCCGCGTGTAGCATGCAATGGATGCCTGGTGTTATGCAAGAATCTCTTGCACCAAGCCACTATTCTTAGCAATTTGTTGTAAGATGAACAGTTATTGATGACAACTAATGGCTCAGAAGTGTTAATAAGTGCACATATTTCACTTACTACTGGTGGTTAAACTGGGCTTTTAATTCGCGAAGATACAATTTTTTCGGACTCCTCAGGGATATCTTGGCACTTAGTCATCACAGGTTGAAGAAGAAATGGGGGACCACACCACCACAGTTCACACAGTTGAAGTTTGACCGGATCAGCACCTCTTGATATGAGATCCGCAGGGTTCTGTTTAGATAAGACGTGATGCCACTGCCACACCTCCGTCATTTCTTGAACCACCGCAACTCGATTAGCAACAAACGTTTTCATACAACAGGACTTTTTTTTCAGCCAAGCCAAGACTATCGTAGAGTCACTCCAGAAAAATACATTATTCACATTAAGTTTTAGAGCAGATATTACTCGAGTCATTAACTTTGTAAACAATACAGCTGCGCATAACTCTAATCTTGGTATGGTAACTTGCTTTATAGGAGCAACTTTTGATTTACTTGTTACCAGCCTTATCACCATATTGGGAGACTGATTTACAATAAACTACAGCTCCATAAGCTAACTCAAAGGCATCACAAAATCCGTGTAGCTCAATAACAATTGCTTCTGCGACAAGAATGCATCTGTTAATTTCTAATTTACATATATGTGGCAGTTCAGAGAAAAACCGTTGCCATTCTTTGGCTTCTTTTTCAGGTAGAAGATCGTCCCAATTGAGTTTCAAAACCAATCGTCTCTGAAGAAATATTTTAGCTTTAGCTATCATGGGACCCAATAAACCAAGTGCGTCAAAGATTCTCCTATTGTTGACAAAACTTGCCTTTTAATAATGTCACACTCATTTTCTAGTTTCACTTTAAAGTTAAACAATCTTTATCTGCTTTCCAGGAAACACCAAGGGGTGACACTTCATTCGCGCACTGAAATGTGTATTCATCATCAACGTTAACTGCAAGCTCCGGATTTTTGCTACACCATTTGTGCAGAGTCATAGTTGCACTTTTTTTAAATCTCAATTAATTCATATTGTAGCTCTTTTGCCGAACTCAGTGAACTAGACCTTGTTAGCACATCATCCGTGAAAAAAATCACTCTGTAGAACTGCAGCTGCTAATGGAAAATTTGTGAACTTATCTATAGCAAGCTGACGTAATGTTCTCATGGCTAAAAAAGGTGCACTTACTGTGTCATAGGTGACCGTGTTCAACTCAAAAGTTTTAACTGGACCATTAATTGACTTTTTCCACAAAATTCTTTGTAGCTGAGTAGGATGAATCGATATCATCCGTTACATCTTTCTGATATCCGCTGTAAAAGTATAAATATGTTTTCAGAAACGTACCATAGTTGAAAACAAGTCCGCTTAAATTACACCACTATTATACTGAATTGAATTCAGCGAATTACCTTTTGACGTTGCAGTCGAAGCATTAAACACTACTCACAATGTAATTTACTTTCTCCTTTAGCGGAAGAGTCCCACTTACAACATAGCCGAAAACACTATTTTGTAATCTTAAATTTGAATCCTGAAGGGAAATTTGACCTGTTTTTGAAAGCTCATAGAAATGTTCTCTATCTATTAGAAATTCAATTGGGCCTGGCTCAAAAAATTTGTCGTCTGCTAAATTGATATTATCTAAAGATGAAACATTAATTTCAAGAGGCTTAGAGGGCGTATATTCTGGTATTTTAGGAACCACCAAAAAATTTAAACTTAAATCAAAATTCTCGTCTCTAGTTTTTATATTCAAAGACAAATTATTTATTCCTGAAACAGAAATGTTAGGCTTTTGTCCCTTTAATTGAAGCAAATTTGCTAACCCTTTGTTCATAAAATTTGAATTGGCACCAACATCTAACAAACTTCTAACTTTAAAAAAGTTACCCGATGCATCTTTAATTAAACAAAAAAAAAAAAAAAGTGCTGAGTAAGACAGCTTTTAATTCATTCGCGAGATTGCACGTTGTTGAGAATAAATTTTGGTCAGTACTTCGCTTTAGCATGCAGAGGTTCAAATGATGGAGCCGAAGCGTCCAAATTCGAAGGAATATTTTTATTTTCACGACTCACCACCTGCGAAACCACCTCTTTGTTTCTTTTTTGTTTGCTAGGGAAATGAAGAGTTACGTGATGTTTTTTTTACAAATATCGCAAAGGAATTTATTGCTGCAATGAATCACTTTATGATTTCCTAAGCAGTTGAAACGTAGATGTTTCGATTTCACTAGCCCAATTCTATCGCTAACTGTCATGTTTTTATAAACAGGGCATTTGTACAAAGGATGAATTTCATTGCATGATAAAATACGTTTCGCATTTTTTACATCAGTTAGAAAAAACTTTGACATATTTTTAGGATAACTGTTTTTATTACTCAACCTAGAATTATCCACTACAGGTTTTCCCTTTGATGTATAATATAAATCTATCTCCTTCGCTAATTCTACAGGTTTAAACTAAGAATTTTATTTCCTTACAATTATAAAACACGTATCGTATTTGACGGCATGTAAGACGTACCCTTATTTAGACGGCCACACACAAGGAAAAAAAGTTTCAATAGCGTGGTTTCTTTTAGTTCTCACGTTTCATAAAAGCCAAATAAACAATTATTGAATGCAATTACCTTCACGTATAAGACTGTGTCCTTCACGTATAAGACCCAGGTAACTTTTTTGAGACCAAATTTAAGAAAAAAAGTGCGTCTTATATGCCGTCAAATACGGTAACCTCTTTATCAAGTGTTTGACATATTTTATCAGAAACCATTAATTGTTTTAATGTTTCAAAGTCATTTACCTGTCTTAGTTTCAAATAATAATCCCAACTCGTAGTTTATCTGGACGCGAACTGCACATAAGTTTCATTCGTCATTCGTTATGTCTTCCTAAAATTTTCTAAACAAATTTGGGGAATGGTTCGAATTCTCTTAGCACTATTTCTTTAACCTTCGAATAATCTCCTAATTTGTCATTTTTAATGTATGTAATAACATTTGAGGTTTTTTTTCTCTTAACAAATTTAGAAGAATTTGCGATTTATATTTCTCTGGAACACCTTTTGAAATGAACGCCCTTTCTAACGGTGAAAAGAAATAACCCCAACCTTCCAATCTAATTGGAATTTTAGTTGTGTATACTTTTAATAAGCGAGTCAAGAGATTCTACTTTTTCTCTTTTCTCATATTCTATGAGGTTTTCACTCTTTGATTCTGCTCGCAACTTCGCAAGTTCTAGTTCCGTTTTCAATTTCTCTAGTTCGAGCAATCGGCTCTCGTCACTTTTTCTTTCGTCGGTAATATTATTTGCTATACCTTCAACTAATACAGGGTCATTTTTATACCTTTCACTGTTTTTGATTATATGAATTAAATCTGATATAGTTCTTGATTCTGAAATGTCTAAATTCAGCTCTACAGCAAGACGCTTATAATCTTCCTTTTTTGCACTTTTAAACATTTTGAATCTACTTTTTCAATTACACAGTTATTACAATTAAGGCCACGTACCTTCTATTTAAGAGTAATCTGCAAGTTTTCCTTCCACGACATTTGTCTTCCGACTTTGACACACATTCGAAGAATTTGAAACACACGTTTTCACTACTGGTATAACTCCGGCTGGGTGAGGACCAAAAAATGGACCCGTTAATAGCTCAGTAAAACTCATAATTAAATAACTCACTTTACACAAGAAATAAAAAAAATGGACTGCATACTAAAATTTATTAATTACTCAAAAAGACGCATAATTAGTTCACATCTCTCGGCGGCGTCTAAGAACACACTCAAACTCATACAAGTGGCCGCAAGGTGGCGCTATAAACAAACATCAGCGTCATCGTTTTAGAACACAAATATCACATATTTTTCACAGATGCCGCCTCTGACGTCAGCAGGTGTATAATAAGATAATGAAAAAGTTATTGATTGAAACTTTGTTTTGTTATGGAACATATTGGGTTTTTTTTTCCCCAAAACAAAACATGGCTTTATGACTAACCAAAAAAAAGTTTTTCGTTAATCATTGTGACTAGCGTTCTCTACTCTAAAATTTCAATAAAGCTAGAGCGTTAAGATTTTCAGTTTGAATTATCGTACTGAAATCTCATTCCTTAACTATGAGCTGAGAGATTTAATTTATCTTTGTCCATTCTAGTTAGTTCAGCTTATTTTTTTTGGAACAGTTTCTTTGGGAACTATCTTCCTAGATTATTTCTTTGAAATTTATTCACAGTACTTCTTCCCACATTGATTCTTTGTTAATCCGTACATGCTTACAGTCGTACCTTTTAGTTTAAAACATAGACGTGTATACATTTGTGTATGTATGTGTGTTAAAATAAAATTTTCAACTTAGCGTTAAAGTCTAACATGAAAATTATTGTTATTGCTTCTAACTGCTGATTATTTTCTTTTTTAAACAAAACACGAGAACTTCTGGAATAGAACATTCGTATAAAATCTACCAAACGTTATGTTTATATATTATACTAATACCCGTTGCTAATTTTATCTTCATACGGTAGGATACTTCAGTTCAGAAAAGTTAAATTTACTGGTCTTCATGATAATAAAGAACACCTCTAAAAAATAACTGCATGTATGCATTATAAAATTGCTTTATTAAAGGCAAATCTATGTATCAATTTATTTTTTCTTTTCTTCTTTTTTTTTCAAGAGTTTTACCAGCTGAAGTTTCTGACGTTGTCAAGGTTTTACGCATTATGAAGAGGCTTCTTTAAAACAGTGGTCTTCAAACTTTGTCGACTCACGAAATTCGGGGAATTCCATCCCACTCTTAGAAAAATATATCCTAAAAGTAGATCAATATGTTAAAGGTACTTTACGTAAAGACAATTAAAGAGAAGTATTTGTATACTTTAATAAACAATTTTAACATAAAATTAACGTAATTTACTCATTAATAGCATTAGCTGGTTCTCCAGACAAACTGGCTAAGTGTAGCCGTATTGATTTTAAATGCAGTCGCATTCTCGTATAGCTTCCTTCAACTGGGAGAAAAAAAAAAAAAAAAATGCTTTTTGTATAATTTTTAACACTTGTCTAAATTCAATTCATTTTCCTGTACAAAACTGTTTAGTTTTGCAAAATGATGAACGTATGATGATATGATGACCTTGTATTAAGTTTTAAAACTAATTTATAACTAAATGTATCTTAATATTTTTTTAGTTAATAAACGCTTGTCGACTAGTGTCAGCGCTTTATAATCTTCTTTTCGAATTTTTATTTTGACTCGCGGAACACAGGTTGAAGACGACTGATTTTAAAACACGGGGATAGTTTAAAAAAAAAAAAAAATCAGGTTGACAGTGATTTTCCTGCTATTTTAGTTTAAGCTGAATAGTGCAAAATTTTACCCAGCTCGCAGAGTCGTAGCTTAGGGGTTTTCAGCTCCCGGGTACAACCGAAAATTTCGCGTCCCTTCCTGTTTGCCAAAAATGGGAATTATTTAGTTCTAAAACTTCGCAACATACATTTGGCGCCCCTGTA